GGCACAGGCTGACCTTCAGCCTGGGGGTGGTTTCCATGACCAGGCCTCTTCCAGCAGCTGGCATCCGCCCTGTTTGGTTCATCCCCTAAACATCCGTGGAAAATATCTGCTTCGCTGGCAGTGGGGCTGACCCAGGAGCGTGTGACACCCCCCCCCTCCCGCCACCCGCACCCCCCAGGAAGCCCCGGCCGGAGAGCCAGAGGCCTGATGGGGTTGGGGCTGCTGGTTCGGCAGTCGGCTCAGCCCCGCCGTGAGCTGATCCCGGGGGGCTTGTTGAACATGGTGTGTTTGTTTTTCCTTCGTTCAGAAATCGCCAAAGGCTGCTTGTCCGGAAGGAGGCCGCCAGCTCACAGGGCAGTGCCGGGAGCCGGCTGGCTCCAGCCCCTACCCTACGCCCCCAAACCCTGGCCCTGGCCCGTAGAGCGTGTGCACAGCAGGCCTCGTCTCTGCTCGGGACCCACAGGGAAGTCCTAGGGCAGCAGTTCTCAGCCTGTGGGTCGCGACCCCTTTGGCGGTCCAACGACCCTTTCACAGGGGTCGCCTAAGACCATCCTGCATATCAGATATTTACATGACGATTCAGAACAGTAGCAACATGACAGTGATGCAGGAGCAACGAAAATAATTTTATGGTTGGGGGTCACCACAACATGAAGAACTGTATTTAAAGGGCCAGAAGGTTGAGAACCACTGTCCTAGGGAGACCCCAAAGCCGCGGCCTTAGCTCCTACGGTGGAGGGTGGTGGTGGGTAGGGTATTCTGACCCCCTGTTCTCAGGCAGGACGATGCCATGCTAACGTTCCCCCCCTTTTTTAAATACATATTTTTATTGGTTTCAGAGAGAGAGAGAGAGAGAAACATCAGTGATGAGCCCTGGCTGGTGTGGCTCAGTGGATAGAGCGTCGGCCTGCGGACTGAAGGGTCCCAGGTTCCATTCCAGTCAGGGCACAGGCCCGGGTTGCGGGCTCGATCCCCAGTGTGGGGCGTGCAGGAGGCAGCCGATCCATGATTCTCTCATATCATGGATGTTTCTCTCTCTCTCTCTCTCTCTCCCTCTCCCTTCCTGTCTGAAATCAATAAAAATATATTGAAAGATAAAAGAAACATCAGTGATGGGAGAGAACCATGGATCGGCTGCCTCCTGCACGCCCCACACTGGGGATCGAGCCCGCAACCCGGGCACGTGCCCTTGACCGGGAATCGAACCCTGACCTCCTGGTTCCTAGGTCGATGCTCAGCCACTGAGCCACGCTGGCCCAGGCTCACGTTTCCTTCCGTAAACACTTGTGAGCACCTGCCGGGGCCCAGGTACTTCCCAGGCTCAAGGGATTTGAGAGCGAGTCTGGCCTGGTGCCCGCCCGCAGGGAGCTCACCACCCACGGGAGGAGACGGGGAGGCGTGCAGGTCATTGCTGAGCCGTGGGTCAGGGGCAGAGCGGAGGCAGGCACTCAGGGGAGCAGGCAGGACGGAGCCTCCGTGAGCTGGGAGGGTCCCGGTTGATTCTCTCTCCCACACTCTGGCCGACACCGTCCCTGAGAACCTAACAGGCAGAGTAACATCGGAGCTGAAGCTTAAACGTACTAAAGAGGCAGGAATTTGCAGGTTGGAAAAATGCTTCCTCGCCCGGCCGGCGTGGCTCAGTGCTTGAGCATCGACCTATGAACCAGGAGGTCAGGGTTCGATTCCCGGTCAAGGGCACAGGCCCGGGTGGCGGGCTCGATCCCAGTGTGAGGCGTGCAGGAGGCAGCCGATCCACAATTCTCTCTCATCGTAGATGTTTCTATCCCTCTCTCTGAAATAAAAACAAAAAACAAAACATCCTATATCATAAAAGGCTAATAGGCAAATCGACCTAAACAGCGAAACGACCGGTCGCTATGACGTGCACTGACCACCAGGGGGCAGACACTCATGCTGGGCTCATTGGCGGTGGCGGGAGCCTCTCCCGCCTCCAGGGCAGCGCTAAGGATGTCTGACTGCCAGCTTAGGGGAGCGGGCCTAAGCCTTCAGTCGGACATCCCCCGAGGGCTCCCGGACTGCGAGAGAGCACAGGCCGGGCTGAGGGACCCTCCCATGCACGAATTTCGTGCACTGGGCCTCTAGTATTTATATAAAAAAGGAGGCGAGTGGGTGCTTCACCTTGTGGTCCCTCCAACATTTGAGGAGTCCATTCGGCGGTTCTTGTGCTGCAGCAGGAGGCCCTTGGGTGAGGGGTTCTCCGTCGGCGCCATGGAGAGTGTGAGTAAAAAGAAGAATCCCTAAAGGAAACAAAAGAAGAAGAAGAAGAGCGCCTAAGACACCCTCAGAGGCCTGTGCTGGTGGTGGGGTGGGGGGGGCCGAGACCAGCTTCCTTTTCCTTTTCTCCCACCACGTGGGTCGTGTGGAGTTTTCCCTGGGAGTTCAGAGGTTCCCGCAGGGAGGTCTAGGCTGGGTCTGTTTTCACGCTTTTTAAAAAATTGATCTCAGAGAAGAAGGGAGAGGGAGAGAGAGAAACATCCATGATGAGAGAGAATCATAGATTGGCTGCCTCCTGCACACCCCCCACTGGGGACCGAGCCCGAAACCCGGGCATGTGCCCTTGACTGGAATCGAACCCGGGA